AAAAAAGCAAAAAAAAAAATAGCAAAATGTTAGGGAAAAAATAGGAAAAAATAAAAAAAAAAAGTGGGAAAAAAAAGCAAAAAAAATATAGAAAAAAATAGGAAAAAAATAGGAAAAAAATTAGCAAAAAATAGGAAAAAATAGCAAAAAAATAGCAAAAAATAGGAAAAAAATAGGAAAAAAATTAGCAAAAAATAGGAAAAAATAGCAAAAAAATAGCAAAAAAAAGCAAAAAAAGGAGAAAAAAATTAGCAAAAAATAGGAAAAGAATAGCAAAAAATAGGAAAAAAAATAGCAAAAGAATAGCAAAAAATTAGCAAAAAAAATAGCAAAATAAGCGCAAAAAATTAGCCAAAAAATTAGGAAAAAAATAGGAAAAAGATAGCAAAAAATAGGAAAAAAATAGCAAAAAAATAGCAAAAAATTAGGAAAAAATTAGGAAAAAATTAGGAAAAAAATAGCAAAAAATTAGCAAAAAAATAGCAAAAAATAGGAAAAAATTATCCAAAAAAGAGAAAAAAAATTAGCAAAAAATAGGAAAAAATTAGGAAAAAAATAGCAAAAAATTAGCAAAAAATAGGAAAAAAATAGGAAAAAAATAGCAAAAAATTAGCAAAAAATTAGCAAAAAAATTAACAAAAAAGGACGCAAAAAATACAATAAAAAGCAAAAAAAAATTCCGAGTCCTAGTCAGCGAGGGGCGCGGCGTGGGGAGGATCCTCACTCTATGTGTGATTATTTTGGGGACGCTGCAGGGCTGGGGGGACGGACGGACGGGGGGGTCGGTGACAGAGACAATCCATCTCTAAGAACAACCGCAGCGATCCACCACCATGCCGGGGATCTTGCCGTAGATGATCTGCTGCTTGTCGTTGAAGTAGAGCATGTTGATGGGGGACATCTTTGTCGGGGTGCAGCAGGGCCCGGCCGAGCCGCGGGGGTTGGCCTGCTGCACCAGGTGCGTGTGAGGGTATTTCTGCATGAACATGTACTCGCACTGGCCCGAGCAGTAATTGGCTTTGTAGCGTTTGGGGGCGATGATCCAGTCCCAGCCGAAGGCCTCGAAGTCCACGGTGAGCGGGTAGCGGCAGCAGCGCGACTCCGTGGAGTGCTCGTCGCAGTCCAGGCCCAGGTTACGGCGAGAGCGCTTGTTGTTCTCCAGGACGCGCAGCTCCATGAAGGGGTGCTGGGGACACGGCAGGGACACGGGGACACGGCAGGGACACGGCAGGGACACGGCAGGGACACGGGGACAGAGGGGACATGGGGACATGGGGACACGGCAGGGACACGGGGACAGAGGGGACAGGGGACACGGCAGGGACACGGGGACAAAGGGGACACGGCAGGGACACGGGGACACGGCAGGGACATGGGGACATGGGGACACGGCAGGGACATGGGGACAGAGGGGACAGGGACATGGGGACACGGCAGGGACACGGGGACAAAGGGGACACGGCAGGGACACGGGGACACGGCAGGGACATGGGGACATGGGGACACGGGGGGGGACAATGGTGAGGACAGCAGTGA